CTGCCATACAGCCATTCAGACTCAGTTACCCTCCAGGGAGGAGTGGCATTGTACCTGTGACTCTTCATGGGAGTAGAAAGCCTCATCTTTCTCCCTCGGAGCTTTGGGTGGATTTGAACTGCTGGCCTTGCACTTAGCAGCCCAAGGTGTAATCCACGATGCCATTGGGCTCCTAAATGAATGCCAAGCACAGGCACACCCAGCATGACCAAAGCAACAAGAAAACCTGATCCCAGTCCGTCCGCTAAATGACTCACTCTTATACTCACAGCGACAGCAGAGCCAAAGGGGAGGCGAGCTGCTTCCTAGCACAAATACTACAGTATTTTCACACAAACAGCTCACACCAGTTCTTCCACTGGATTCCCTCCTTCTCGGGTGCTGACAGGGAGTCCCTGTGACACAGAGGAGGACTGGACTCCCATAAAGACTCAGTCTCGGCAAGCCACAGGGGCAGTTCTGCGGTGTCCAATTGGGTCACTGTGAGTCAGCACCGCCGGGATGGCAGTGGGTGTGGTTTTATTTTTCATGTGTCAGGTGTGGGCATGTTCTTTGCAAGAAGACGACTGTGTTTGATACACTTTGCCTGGCAATAAGATGTTATCAAACACATTTAAGAAGGAAGAGACACCCCCCCAGAGGGATGATTTCTTCACCAAAATGTGGATGAAGAAAGACAGACAGTGTAAGACACTAAGTAACAATAGTAAAATATGAATGATCAAGGATTCGTGAAGGAGGCCGGGTGGGGGAGGGAAGGGCCCAAGTAGAAAGAAAGTGTTTTGGAAATGTTGGTGTCAAGTGTGCTTAATACAATTGAATGATAGATTGGTATAAGATTTGTAAGAGACCCCCGATAAAATTATTTTTTTAAAAGAAGAGAAACCATAAAACAAAGAAACAAAAATGAAAAAGCAAGAGAAACAGCCAACTCTTCAAAGACAATCAACAGGGCAGACTCAGGGATGACCCCGTGTTGGAACTACCCGACAGGCAGTTTAAACAACTGTAATGAGATGTCTGGGCTTTCCCGGAAGTGACGGACAGCAGATGGGAATAAATGTGGGAATGCAGAGAGAAATCAAACAGAGCAGTCCAGAGCCGTGGGAAGACATCAAATGGTTTGATCTCTGTGGTAAATCTTTAAAAAAAAGAAAAGAAAAGAAAAAAGAGGGGGGAGGGTGTTATTTCCATCCTAGGTAAGAAAAGAGACCCCAAATAGATTACCTAAAGACAAACATATTACATCTTCAACAGGTCAAAGGCAGACACACACACACACACACACACACACACACACAGATGAGGGAGACTGTGAGCTGAGGTGCTAACAGTGTCCAAGGATTTCAGCAGAGCACGGAGCTCAGGGGCTCAGGGGCAACTCACAAAAGCAGGGTGGGTGGCAGATGAATGCATCACAGTGACAGTGGGATGACAGAAGTGAAGTAGGGACTATTCTAGAGAGAAAAGCTTGCAAGATGAGTCAGGCCCCTCTGTCCGTGGCAGTCAGGGTATGACTTGTGACCGTGTGTCCCTGGTTCTCCAAATTCTATTCAAAGCATCGCCACACACGTCTGTGTCAGTGCTGCATGGACTTTGCCTTGGCAGCTGAAGGGAGTGGAAGTAATCCACTTCTAACACACTGCCTTGAGAGCAAAGCTGTTCATGGGAGAAGTCAATGGAGGCCGCATCTGTGTGGACACTCACACACAGAGGTAGGGTTTTCCCTGAAAATGGTAGCCTTCTGCAAACTGCTTGGCACTTGAGCTCGAATAAATCCCACCTCGGATCATGGATTTCCCAGTAGGTTAACCCTTTCTAAAATCACCAAAAATTTTCTTTTAAGGTGGCCACTGATTTCCTACATGATTCTTGCCAGGGTTTCCTGCATGGGTGGAGGTTCCAGCACGACCTTTGGAAGGCATTCCATCTTCCCAAGGGACGGACAACAGGGCAGCATGGGCCCAGAATCTCGGCTGCCCCAGCCCAGCAGACCTGAGTTGACCAGAAGGGAGCCCGGAGCCTCGGGGAATTCCCTTTGGACTGAGCCGGCTGAGCAGGAAGAAGAGAGGTGAAGCAACATCGAATGTGCTGCTGCCCCTACCACCCACGTGTACAAACAAAAGGACCCAGAGCTCCCGAAAAAACAGAAGTCCCCTCTGTTGTACACCTGGAAAAGAGCACCACCTGCCAGACATGCTCTGAGCCGAAAAAAACAAACACACAAACAAACAAGTTATCCGGAACCACACCATTGGAGTAAACCACAGTCAAAAGTGTTTGCAAACAGGACGGGGAGAAACAGAACAGAGCCCAACCATTCACCCAGAAGACACAGAGCAAGAGTGAGTAAGCTCCCAAAGCCGGGAAATGCAGGTCCACAAAGCCAAGAGCACTTGCCTTGAGGGCTCCCTGAAGCTCAAGGAAATGTGGGGTCAAAGCACCCCTTTGTTGGGGCCAACTCAGTGTGCGCATGCACGTGCACGCGCGCGCGCACACACACACACACACACACACACCAGGTTCTACCAGGAAAGACTGCTTTGGATCCTGCTGAAACACTACACTCTGGAGAGGCAGTCAGGATAGGTAGGACTTAGTACGATGGAACCCATCTGAACGCGGGGTAAAAGCGCACAGGGGGTGCAGAAAGCCCCCTTTCTCCCAAGGAGCAGCTGGTGGTTCCGAAGTTCTGACCTCGCAGTGAGCAGTCCATCACATGTGGTACACTTCACCGCCAGGGGCTTCTGCAACCCTAGAACCCCCAATCCCACTAAGGACACCCCCAGGCAAGTCCCTAAGGGCTACACCGTCCATCCCTGGATCGGGCAGGGGCGCAGCAGTATCCATAGTCATCTATGCCCTGCCCGAGGGCAAACTTCCTATTGCTGGTTTCCGCTCAAAAGGAATTCAATGGAGGCTGAAGCCGTGGAGAATCAAAAATGGATTTAGGGTGTGTTCACGGTAAACAGGAGCTTTCTGCAAACCAAATGCTCAGAGTGGAAGCTCTCACACTCCTGTGGGGGTGGACTGCTTATTTTGGTCATATGTGCAGACAGTCAGGACAAATTAAATGCAAATCCGTTCAAAGCAGTTATTTCGGTCATAGTAGCTGTTCGTCACGATTGTTTTCTCCCTTCATCAGCTGTTTACAGAAGAACAAGTACTGGACCAGACCATGATGGCTGGCGTGGTCTGACCGGCTGTTCAAAAGGATCACCACCTTCGTGTAAGCATTGCTTGTTTCTGTTCTGGGAGCAAGTGGGCAAGGTTAGTCTTTCAGCAGGATTTGTTGCTTGGTAATTTCTGCTTTTTTTTTTTTTT